TTTTTTGGAAATGTAAAACAATTATTTTCTTCAATATAATATTGATGAAAATAATTTTTTACATTTCCTCTTGAAATGTAAAAAATTATTTTGACGGAAGAGACCACCTTCTCGCGGTTTCCGTTGAGCAACAATGCGTACGTAGTCCACTTATAGAGATGATATCCATAAAATATTTTATATCTCTTTCATTCTTCCTATGTTAAATTTTCTTATGTTAATAATCGTCATGTTTCTACATTATTTATTGTTACATATATTATTATGGAAGATTTTTTTAGAAAAAGACGTACACGTTGGCCAAGAGTGGATTTTTAAAGATTTTTCACTTTTACTCTCTTTCTAGCCTTTATTTCTTTACATATTCACATGTACAACTTTTAGTATCATTAATTCTTATATTTTTATTACAAATTATCAAGAGATATAACAGTGTGTCGTGCCTAATAGAAAAGGACACGCGAAAACTAATAGTCGAGCCGTACAAATCTCACGGCTGACCGATTGACGACGCATCAGCTATAGCTCGAGAGAGAAGGAGACGGAAGATGTTGTTTACTCTCTCCTGCTACCCGAAGCTAGCCGAGCGTCGAGCGCACACGTATTTACGACGTGTTGCTTGTGTGCGAGCGTGCGCGCGTGGCCAGACGGACTATCCCCTCTCCAACCCCCACCATCGCGGCAGCATGCGGGTAAACGTTCCCGGCTGGCATCACTGGTGGGCAGGGCAAAGACGACGATTTTCGATAATTTATTACTCGTTAACTATTGCGAAAATTGCAAATGGTTCAGGACTTTTCTGTTCATCTCGATCCGTTCTACCTTCTCACGAGCTCTGGTACAAATGTTATGACTCACCCTGTATATTCGTCTATGATAAATATTAATAAATATATGAACAAATATATTTTATGCGATTTTTATTTAATATACATGTATATGTATTTAATTAAATACAAACAACTCCCCCTTCACAGAGTTATCTATATTTCATATAATGCCCAATATTAGGTGTAAAAATTAATACCTATAATGATGAGAACGAAATTTTTGTAAGTTCTATGTTGTCGAGATCTGCTCAAATACGGAAAGATCTGCTCAGATCTGGAAAGATCTGACGCATAATGTCTGCTCAAATCTTTTAGGAGATCTGATGTCAGATTAGATCCGAAGAGATCTGATTCGATCAGCAACCCAACTTTGTAAACTAAGAATGATCAGATTTGGTGAGCTCAACATATGTCTGGTTGGGTCTGACTAAACCTGGTGAGATCTGATGCGTATCTCAAGAGATCGGAAGAGATCCGACAGGACTTGCGATTCAATATCGAACAGCAGCAATGGTCAGATCTTGTGAAATCGGACTAAAGTTTAGAATGTCTGGCTGGATCTAATCAGATCTGGCCATGCAGATCTGACGAGATAAAATTGTATCCAATCAGATCTGACTCTACTATAATTTCAGATCTCGTTGTATCTCATTTTATCAAATCAGACATGGTCAGATCTCCTCCATTTTTTCCCGGGTTGTATAACCAAAATAGGCGTTAATATCTATAAAGATAGAGCTGAAATATTAAGATCGATAAAGAATATATACAAAATATAATTCTTTACCGTATGTACTGTATTTATGAAATGAAGTAATTAACCTAAAAATAATATAACCTATTAATAATAAATCGTAAATGTGTCACACTTGCTTATTGTTATAGCACATTATGGAATCACCTAGATATCTTAGCCGGAGACGAAGACGTTTGTAACGATTCGTTTTCGGGGTTGCGGGAGATCCGCGTTCGTACGGCCTCGCGTCCCAGCTTGGACGCGAGGGAATCGTTCGGATAACCTGCTGACTCTCGGATAAGCCGACGGGCCGCGTCGTCCCTAGCGCACTGCTTGGCGCTATACGACGCTTTCGGGTGGACGCGTTTCCCTCGGCGTGCTTCCCTCTGTTCGCCCCCGCCGGATAGCTTCAGCAGCCAGGGTCGTGAGCGAGAGAGTGAAAGCACCGTAACCGTAGTTTAATTCAGGGAGGGTGTTGTCGCTTGATAAAGAAAGAGAGTCGTGTTTACAACGAAAGTGCTAATTTATTCAGTCTATCATCAATCAATAATATTAATTCAATTGGTTATAAACATCGCATAAGCGTTCGCAACGTCTCAGTATGAGTGAAGTCACACTTCGACGTCACAGCGACCGCCGGAACGATCTTCAATCTAGAGAAGTTGATTGAGTACGTCACAACTCTAACAATAAGCCATGACGATATCAAATTATAATTGAGGATGGACATCACGGTTGTAAGCCGTGATGATCTCAAGGAGTGCAGTTTCCTGCGTTGCGAAAGCGAGATGCGACGAGTCTCAGATGTGCAGTTACCTGCGTGCGTCGCAGTCGCTATCCGCAACGTTTCTCAAAGTTGAAAAGAGAGAGAGAGAGAGAAAGTACCTTCTGGAAATCCAGACGATCCATCTGTATGGCCAGCATCAATCTATCAGAGCCAACAGCCGGCAACCCCTGATAAAATCACGTGGTGCGCACCTCCCTCGTCCAGAAGAATCTGGTGTGAGTAGGGTATATAGAGGGATTCTAACTCGGGCGAGGGGGGAGCGGGGAGGGGGGCTCAGGCGAGGGGGAGCGGGGAGCCGTGGCGAGGGGGTCGCGGGGAGTACGTGACCTTGACGTCACGCAAGGTGCTGACCTGTCACTACGTGACATGTAACAGATATCTAGGTGCTGACATTCGTTTCTTTTTTAGCGCGAACACCTGGACGCGTATTCTTATTTTCTTTGTTATGAGTCACGGGTCAAGCGCCGAAACCTGGCTGCTGGCAACGACTTTCTTATCAAGGTGAACGATGTCGAGGAGTTCCGCGTTTATTATTCCGCAGCGCTTGGCTATCCGCGGAGGCGCGGGGAGGGAGATATTCCGCGGCGATCCATGACGCGGGGAGGAGAGGACCGCAGCACTACGCGATCCGCGCGGGCGCGGGGAGGGGGAGGACCGCGACGCTACGCGATCCCTCGACGCGGGGAAGGGGAGGTCCCGCGTCGCGAGGCGATCCGCGGCGCGTGCATGTAATAGATATCACCGGGATGCCTTTGATTAGCGCGAACACCTGGACACGTATTCTTATTTTCCTTGTTTTGAGTCATAGGGTCAAGCGCCGAAACCTGGCTGCTGAAAAAGTTTTTCTTATCTAGGCACGTGATGCCAGGAAGTTCCACGTTTAAACTCGCGTCTACTGCATCGGCATGTAATAGATATCACCGAAGATGTCTATACCTCTGATTACCACCGACACAGCTACGCGTATTCTTATTTCCATGTTATGAGTCACGGGGTCAAGTGCCGAAACCTGGCTGCTGACCTTGACTTTCTTATGATATATATAATCGGTTCGGAAGCCTGCCGCATCACAGTAGGAGATTTTATACGAGATCGAGAAGAAAAACCTTGTGGACAGTATAAAGTCTGAAAAGACGCTAGCGCGACAACATGGAACAACGAGAGCAAGATCTGGTGGAGCGAGCCGAGACAGGATCACCACATTAGGTGATTATTTGGGGTGGCTGCAGCAATGCGGCGAGTGTATCGCAGAGCTAGAGGAATATAGCCGTGTCCGAGGCTATCCATCGGTAACAGACAATCGCTGGTGGCTCGAATCGCGCAACTTGAGAGTGTTAAGTGCTGAGTTGAAAGGCGATTCGTACATTTCGGCGGTGGCGGTGTTGGAACTTCTTCGAGAGCGCAACTGTCGTGGCGCGAGATCGACACCGCGTTTGACAGTCGCGTGCTTACCGGAGCGGTAATTAACGCGGAGTACATTGACCCGCGCAAATTTCTCGATGACGCTCGCGATATCGTGATGGAGCATGTGCAAGACACTATCGAGCGCTAAAATTGTGTAAAGGTGAATACTATGTTCAACGGAGAGTTTGTGGCGGGTGATAAACGTGCAAATAAATGCATAAATACAAAAAACTATGAACTGTTTATTACAACGGACCTACAACAGTGGTACAAGTCGCGCGTAATCGGTCCGACTCTAGCTGAACTCGAAGAGTTTCAGGAGCGTGATAGCGGGTGGGCGCTGCCGCGTATACACGACGTAACCATTAACGTGAACAAGTGCAATCCTATGCGCGCAGGATGTCCTATAGACATGCCAGAAGTGGTAAAACGAAAGAAAGCGGTGATCAACGTACTATCAAAGGACAATGCGTGTTTCGCTTGGTCGGTGGTCGCTGCTCTCTATCTAGCTGAAAGAAACGCGGAGCGCAAATCGTCGTATCCATATTACAGCGACGTGCTAAACTTGCGAGACATTAGCTTTCCAATGACACTCAACCAAGTGAAAAAATTTGAACAATTGAAAAGTATTTCTATCAACGTATACAGCGTCGAGAAGAAGAAGGAATGCACAGTCGTACCGCTACGAGTTGCCGATGAGAAGGAGGAGAAGCACGTGAACCTTTTATACCTACAAGATCAGAGGGGTGCTGAAGTGGGTCACTTCGTCTGGATACAGAATTTATCCCGCCTCGTCAGTTCTCAGCTCAGTAAACACAAGGAGAAGAAATACATTTGCGATCGGTGAGTATCGACAAGATTTGTGAAACTTACTTTATTTGAAAAAATATATGTTAAAAATTTTTGTCTTTCCAGATGTTTGCACTACTTTAGCTCCAACGTCAAGTTGCAAGCCCACAGCGTGGACTGTCAACAGATAAATGACTGCGCGATCGTATTGCCCAGCGAGGAGGACAAGTGGCTCAGTTTTAACAATCACAGTAGGAAGGAACGTGTGCCGTTTGTCGTCTACGCCGACTTGGAGTGTATCCTGAAAAAGATAGATACGGATCCGAAAGCATATCAGCACCATGAAGTATTTAGCATCGCTTATTACCTGCACTGCTCATATGACGACTCGCTATCAACACATCAGTTTCGTCGTGACAAGGATTGCATCGCATGGTTCGCTGACCAACTAGAAGAATTAGCATATCGTGTAAAGAATATCACGTAAAAATCTTACCTTTTTAAAAAAGGTAAAAAAAAGCACCAAGTCTAAGCTCCAATTCAACCGAATATATTTTGTTACTCTATCTTTTTTGCAAAAGTATAATCTCTACAAAAATATCTTTACTGCAAAAGTATCTTCTTTACAAAAATAGTGTCTCCACAAAAATCTTCTGTACAAAAATATCGTCTCTACAAAAATATCTTCTCTACAAAACTATCCTCTCTACAAAAGTACGTAATGATATCAACAAATTGCGCCAAATAAAACAGCGGATATTTATACAAACTAGTTGCTTTAGCATTAGTTTTTGATTAAAAAATGTTATATTTCTTAAAAAATCAAACTAACGATTTTATTGGAAAAAATAATAGAGTTACTAATAAAACACCGATGAAAAGAATAGCAACTGTTTAGAAATTTAGAAACTCTGTATCTGTTCAGGCGAATTAAGGTTTGTGTCCATGGCGCTAGTACTTGGTCCAAGTTCTAATTCCGCGAAATATGTAGCAAATCAATTTGCAGCTTTTGTGGAACAGCTATATTGATTTGCTACATATTTCGCGGAATTAGAACTTGGACCAAGTACTAGCGCCATG